ATCTAATACCTATCAAAATTGTCTCAGATACAACAGAGTACAGTTGGTTAGACAACTCTATGTGTTTAATCCAAACTAGTTACAACTCAATAATACTATAATCCAATCCACAAAGTGGTGGGATGAATAATACTAACATGCAGTTGGAGAAAAATGACATATATTGCTACGATCTACTTAAGATCATTGAAAATTTATCCACGTATTTAGCTACTATGCTATAATAAACTACCAAATAGAAGATAATCACATATAGATGGAGGATTTTATATCATCAAACACTTGAATATGAGCTACTGCGCTTTCCTAAATTAACAACTCTCGTTACTGCTCCTCTGCATAATCTCTGTAGATAATTGACCGACTAGATTATGGACTGCTTAAAGCATTGATGTTGCTTTTTGTTCCAATTATAGCCAGTAGGGGAAATTAAACTTTCGACAAATACATCACTTGAATACGTTACAAAACATATGCAAGGTATTATGGATTTGTATTCAGCTGTTTGTGGATTGTAACTAACAATCCTTTGGTAGTTGATGATCATTAACAGTTCACCATTTTTATTAGGCATCAGAGGGATCAACTGATTGGAAATTGATACTTCAGGAAATAGTTTCACTATTTCAAACATGAGAGTCCATGATTCTTCAACACCTTACTCTTTCATCACCATTAACTGAAAATTCCCCTTAAAAGAACTAAAATTATCCCAACGAACCATACAAAGACAGCATTCTATAATTCCCAGACCAAGTATGACATCGTCTTTCCTATTCTTGCACTGAGGCAATGGATGTCTTTCCTATTCTTGCACTGAGGCAATGGAACCTCAGCGATTTCATCAGTCTTTGGATCAAAACCAATAATCCTTTTACCATGTCCATGATTTACCACATCAGTGTCATAAGCATCCCATTCCCAGTGCAGAATTCCATTGCAAAAAAACTGCCCTTCCTCGCTCCCAACCATTATGAGGAAGCTTCAACTCTTTCCAAGGTTTGTCTTTCAAGGTAGCTACCAAGACAGATTTGCCAAAATTCTCCACTAGAAACAGAAGCTTTACACCTACTTTATAATCCTCGGAGGACGAGTCATAGCAAAACCCTGCAATGTTTACAGACTCAGGACCAGATAGATAATCCAGTTCAAACACGTGGCAAAAGTATGCAATCGATGGATTCCGCAAGGACTAAGAAGTAAGAAGAAAGAAGTTCCAAGAATCATAAGCCATAAACCATTGCATGAACCCCCAATAAGCCCTTTACAACCCCTCCCGGGTTTCACCCACGGAATCGTTGGATGGAGCCTTTCCTCATCAATGAATTGCAACCAAGGCAATTTTTAGTAGGATAAGTCCGTGCGATGGCTTGCCGACATAAAAAGTGCCATAGATATAGAATTGTGACGATTGAATCTCGGATTAGTTATCATGGAATTCCAGAGCCTGTTTACGCATCTGAATCTCAACAGTGATTTGACTGGAAGCCTGCGGAGGATTTTAGAATTTATTGTTTCCTGTGGAAAATGAGGCACCTTTCTTGCTGTAACCTTAAACTTGAAACTGTTGGCAGTTGGGATCCTCTATGCCACTACTCGGTGTCAAATTCAGTGCAAATTCCACTTATCACGTGATGGTAGAAGAAATTTAAATAAACAGCACATGGCAATCTGTACAGGATTCCCAAATGGGATGCCTGACATCATTCATCATAGGGCCGTAAATGAATAATAAAAATTTTCTATTCAATGTATCTAGGGAAAATTCTAAAATTGTGATGGAAAAAATAAGTTATTCTACAAGGGGGCCCATTTTTGAGTTTAGTTCTAGCATTAGGGTCTTCGCATTTGTGAAATGCGAGTTCATTGACATCGCATTTCACAAATGCGAGGTTCTTGTTCCGGAAAAAGATGAGAAATGTTGTGCGAAAAAGAAAAACGACAACACAAAGCTCACATGTATGGAATGCGAGGTGAGGTACCTCGCATTTGTGAAATGCGAGGTGAGGTACCTCGCATTCGACAAATGCGAGATACTTAGTCTGAAACCCAATTCAAATATGTCTCGTAGCCGGCAGAAATTGGAGGTCACTTTCTCGTCTCCTTTGCTGAGGTAGTCAGTGCTCCAAGCATCTCAGTTCTCCGCCATTGCCATTGTAGACGAAATCGCTCACATCTCGGCAGAGGAAATCCCTCACATCTTTGTCGTCGGAAGCTGTCCGCTGAAACCAAGCTGTCCCATTTCTGCCAAGCTGTCTGGAATCCGTGCATCTCCCCCCTCCCTCCCAATTTGCCAGAAGAGGTATGAATTTATCTTTTTTTTTTGTTTCTTAGTTTGTTTGTTGTTTCCAGAGGATTTTTGTTTTGCTGAATTGAGCTGGCTGTTCTGTTTTGGCAATCTATTAATCGTTCTTGTTCTTTCGGTTTGACTCGCATTAGCTTGCCATGCCTTAGCCTGACAATTAGTTTGGAAAAGGGAGAAAAAGTTTGGAAAATCGCAGTTTCTGCACTTAGTGCAGAGAAAGAAAGATCCGAGCTCGGATCGAAGTTAATCCAGAAGGATCCGACACCGGATCCAAGATACGAGCTCGGATCCAAGTAAACCCGGTCGGATCCGAGAGATCGTCTGTGTTCCTGGTGAGACCGATCCGAGGCTTGTAGGATCCAAGGACTTCAACAACCGATCCGTGCTCGGATCGGTTCGCGATATGTCTGAAACCGAGGGCTCGGTTCCTCAGTTTCTAGATTTCCTCTTCCCTCTTCTCACCGAAACCCTAATTTTCCATTTCATCCATAAAACTTCCAATTTTTCACAATAAAAACCTTCCCTAAGCTCTTGTGATCATTAAAAAAAGTAATTACACTTTTAAGGGGAGATTCTATCAAAATTTTTTTTAAAAAAAGTAATGACAATGTGTAATTGTTAATCATAATAAATATATATATATTTTTCAAAATATATATAATAAAAAATAATTTTTTCAAAATATATATATATCTATTATGAATAATAAATTACAATAAACAAATAAAATTTGGAAATGATTATTATGCTGGATCTTTATTTTTGCATTTATAGCAAATTATATCTTGTACTCTATAAGAAAAATAATCACATAATAATCATTTGATAAAGGGTTAAATGCAAAAAACCCTTATAAACTATTTACCCAGTTACAGTTTATCCCCTAAACTATAATAATAGGCATTTTTGCTCTCTTGAATGATATGTTTGGAAAAATTTACCCCTTTTAATGTATCATATTTGTTAATTTTCTTTTTAAATTCTTTCTTTTTTTCTTTAAACAATTGTTTAAATAAGTAGACTAGATTAGTCAAAATTTGTTTATTTCTTAATTTCGTAGGTCAATATTTTATACAAAAAAAATGTATGTGAGTAAAAGATTTTTTTCCCAAATGTTGAATTCAATGTCATTTAAGAATTTTAACTTTTCAAATATATAATAACAAAATAGAGAAATTGATTAATCAGTTATTAGTAGTATCAATAACAAAAAAAATAAACTACTACTGTTGTTCATTCTTATTTTGTATTTCACTACAAATAATAATTGTTAACTTTTCTTTCTTATGTGGTATATAATATGTTGCTTTTATTATAAGTAGTTGAGGAACTACGAATTCTTAATTAGTTTATAGGTACTTAAATTATTGAATTACTAGATTAATACACTTTACAAAAATTGTTGACTTACTACATTAATACACTTTACATAGTTTTGTACTACTAATTCTAATTTGTTTTTCCCAATATAGGGATTGTTTTCTTTGATATGTCTATAGAAAGACCTCTGCGAGTATCCCTTTATTGGGGAGGTAAAATACACTATGAAGATGGGTCAATTTGTTATTTGCCTCGTACCTCCAACCGTACATTCTCATTACGGCATAGAATTGGATATGATGAGCTGGTGGATAGAATTTATCAATACATGGGGGTCGATAGGGGGCTGTTCAAGTTGAATTTATTTCTCCGCCAACCTTGTAGCCGTACTTCTTATAATGTCTCTCCAGTGGTGGATGATGAAACTCTGGAGATAATGTATGATGTCTGGAACGAAATTGTCCCATACATCACTGAACTTTATATCGAGAAGGAGGAAATAGTCCAAAATCCTTGAGTCAGTAGCACATTCATTCCACCAACTACCAATATTGGTCCGATGATGTCGCTTGTCCATGCATGCATGGATCCAACTAGGTATCGATCCTACTCTAGTACAGTGTTACCAGAGACAGCATCGGTATCACAACTACCTCATAGGGATTGTGTTAGGGACTTGGTAGAGCCACGGTTCACGTCAGGCTTAAGGACGGATGTTGAATATGTTCAAGGCCTTGACTCGATTCAAAATTTTGGAGACCCCGTATCGCCGAATCATGTGCCTTCTTATGGCTTCGATTCGACTGCCGGTCCAAGTCATTGTAACACATTGGTAGATGATGATTTGGAAAATGATGTAGAAGATGTGGAAGAATCTGAGTCGGTAGATGTGTCAGGTAGTGACTCAGATGGCGAAAATGAAAGACGTGGAATCCACCAGGATCTTGGGAACCAACAACCCTTTGCTGCATCTGCCAACCTTTCGTATGCTCCACGAGGATTCAAATTCTTCTCTAACCTTGGAAACATAGATGATGACGACCAACTCACTGATGAAAGTGAGTTGGAGCGTATTGTGACATTTAGTGAGGATAATAATCACATATGTCTACATATGAGATTTGAGAGCAAACAACAGCTGAGCAGGGCTATTAGAATGTGGTCTATCAATCATAATAGGGAGTTCAGGGTTGTTGAGAGCAAGAGTAATACTTGGGTTGCCAAATGTAAATCTGCATTAGAAAGGAGCACCACCACTGCGGCCGACGTATCGTATCCTCCATGCGACTAGTCAGTCCGAGCAGTGAAAAAAAAGACTCATGGATTGTGGCAAATAACCAAATGGGTCAACGACCATAATTGTGTTGGTGATTTGATGAGTAATAGCAATGCTTGTCTTACATCTTCGGTTATTGCTAGACACATAGTTCGTAGCATTGAAGATGATCCTGGCTTTAAAGTAAAGAATATAGTAAGCCATGTTAAGGAAGTTTTGAAGGTGGATGTCTCTTATAAAAAGGCTTGGTACGGCAGACGCAAAGCTATTGAACTTATATTCGGTTCTTGGGATGCTAATTTTGCTGAACTACCGAAATATGTTGATGCATTTATGCAGTCAAATCAGGGATCTGTGATCAGGTGGTTGCACCATTCTGATAGTACGGATCGTGTGAAGACATTTAAGTATGTCTTCTGGGCTTTTGGACCGGCTATTGATGCATTTCACATGTGTCGACCGGTTATATGTGTTGATGGCACTCATTTGCGGGGCGAATATAAAGGCAAACTACTTGTTGCAGTTACGCAAGATGCCAACAACAAGATTATTCCGCTAGCCTATGCCATTGTCGACGAAGAAACTATTTCTAGTTGGTCTTGGTTCATGGAACAACTAAGATACAATGTGGCCCGTGATCGGTATCCTATTTGTGTCATTTCGGATCGGCATAATGGTATCATCCATGCCATGACACATTATGACTATTGGCAAGAACCTTTGGCCTTTCATAGATTTTGCCTACGACACGTTAGGAGTAACCTAATGGCTCACTTCAAAGGCTTGCACCTTAGAAGGTTATGTTGGGCAATGGGAAAAGCCAGACAATTGCGCAAGTGGCGGGCATTCAAACGAGAATTGAGGAACATGTTTCCAAATGCATGGACTTATCTGTCTAACATTGGAGCTGAGAAGTGGTGTCTAACACATGACGATGAGAACCGTTGGGGTATTCTCACAACCAACATTTCCGAAAGTTATAATAATGTACTTAGAGAAGCACGTCATTTGCCTATCCGGGCTTGTATTGATATGACATTTCATCGGACAGTTGAGTTGTTTAAAAGAAGAAAAGAGGATGCTAGACATTGCTGTAATCCATTTCCTCCAAAGATATGGCAGCGGTTTAAGAATTCGGACCTGAAAGCGGGAATCCACAGGGTTGTTGAGTTCGATGGCTAATTGTGCTACATTATGCTTAAATAGATTGTTACAACTATTTTAATCCTTGGTTTTTTGGATTTGTGGATTTGGTATTATTGTGTAGCTTTTCCTTCATTTTTAGGTTTATGAACATGAACTCTTAAATGCATGAACTTACTTCTCTATGTCAACTACTTGTAAGCTTAAAATTCACAAAATTGTTATTATAGTCATCTGTTTGTTTATTTTTCTAAACTTTTAAGCTTAAGCATGTGAAATTTGTGATTGAACATTCCTTGTTCTTAGACATAATTGGCACTCATAAAGAAAAATGCTAGCTCATTAGTTCGTACTTTGGTATTAATTAATAGTCCTTTTCACTTGGAGATTATACTCTATTGCTCAAATATGCATCAATTCTCATGAGATTGGACTTTTAAATGAGCTTCTAATTGAAAGCTGGGATTCACAAATTCGGAAAGTGGATTGTTCAAACCATGTGTTGACAATGGGGATTGACATTCATATTATACATGCCAACCACTGTATCTCCAATGATTTAAGCAGGTTCTGTGATTGTTTTTGGGTACAGCTGGCAGGAAGTTTAGCCCTTTTTCAAGGGGAAACTCTGCCGAAATTTTCTTAACTCATTAAGACAATTGTGTTCTACTTGTTTTGTATTGCTTAAACATATTTGTGTTGCATCTTGTTTGTAATCCAGACATCATGGCTCGCACACGAAGGGCAGTGATTCGCACTCCTACACCTTCATCCAGTGAGGAGCATACACCCTCTTTACAAGAGGAGTCGCCTGAAGTGGAATCTCCTTCTCCTCAGTCCCCACCTCGTTCTAGGCGTAAGACGGCATCTACCAGCCGTGACGAGCCACATCCAGACTACGATACCACACGTTTCACATCAATCGAGAATCAGCAGTGGTACGAAGCCGGTTTAGACAAAGAAATAATAGTTGAGAAGCACTTGGCGCCGGAGGTGGATGACCATTACAAGATCTCCACGGCCTTCAAACGACTTGGTTGGGAGGACATACTCAAGTTGCCCAAGCATTACTATCCTAACCTGATTCGAGAGTTTTATGCCAATGTGGAAGACAAACAGAGCCATAGTGGCAATCTGATCGAATCCTGGGTCCGAGGCAAACGAGTGGCGATCACTCGAGACAAAGTTGCGAGGTGGGCCAAACTCAAAGACTCAGGAGATGATATCAAATTGACTAAGGAGTTCAAGGCACGTGACCCATGGCAAGTGGGAGAAGTTGTGACACGTCTTAAGGGTCAATAACCTGAGCGAGGAAGTTCAAAAAAGCTCACCGTATATGCCGATTCCTTGGAGCATAGGTACCACCTGATTTTCTATCTTTTTGCCTTCAATGTGGTACCAAAACGGAGTGAAAAATGGGAGCTTCGCAACAGTGACCTATACTTCCTCGATAAAATGATGCATGGTATAGGTAATCATATGACTGGAATTCCTCTGCCCAGCATCATTATCAGTTACATGAGGACCACAGCTCGCATGAGGGCTGACGGGTATTTTACATACGTGCAAGCTAAAAAATACCGAATTACACCCGTTCACTGCAAGTATACAGATCAACTAGTAGTTTAGGGTATATATCGGGTCGATCCCACAAGGAAGAGTGAACAATTACCGGTATTACTAAAGTTTCTTTATTATTTAGACTATCAATGAATAATAAGAAATTTAACCTACTGCACTTATACAAGAAATTAACAAGTAAAAGCTCCTTAGGTTGTGGTATCCCTAACTACTCATGCAAGTGTTATATTTGGATCATTGAATACTACATCTAGGCTAATTATGGTGTAATTTCCTTATGCATTTGAATGCTACTTTCGTAGTGAATCAATTATACTTATAACTAATCCATACCTATTCTCATGGTTATGAAATTAGCTACAAGTTCATTTCTTCAGTGAAATTACATGAAATAAATCACTAAAAACCACATAGGTGCACCTCTACTTTCGTGAGTGTACTCCCTATGTTTAGCACTTCTTGAACTAGTGTTAAATCTCAATTTTCATTGCAGAAACAACACCTTAGATAATCAGAATTAATGGTACCATATTAATCATGATTTAAAGAGTTAAAGTGCTAAATAACTTGCTCAAATCATAGCAGTCAAATAGCCAAATAATAAGCACTAATAATCATAGAAAGTTCAACCCAACCCAAGGTATAAACTTTAAAGACACATAAATAACATAAATTCCAGAACTTGTATATTAACTATATTTAAGAATCCAATACAAAAGATAAAGAGTTGGAGAAGAGATAACCCATGTCACTTGAGCTTCAACTTCTCTTTCTTCATCTCCATTTTCATCCTAATCTAGCCATTATACAAGAATGGATGAACTACACTTACTACACTATCCTACACTAAGAAAATGGAAGAACTACATTTCTGCACTCTTCAAGCTTCTCCCGTATGCTCTGCATGTCCTGGTTGCTCCCTATATAAACTGCTCCAAAAGCTCTTTTTCCATTGGTCCAAATTTGCTGCATTTGATTTCCAAATCTGAAATTGTTAAGATAGTCAATAGCCATTGTTTTTGACTTGAAAATATGCCAACTTTCTTGCCCTTTTGTCTTCTAAAGCATGTGCACCGAATTCTCTTGCAGATTGTAGCTGGAAAGTAGTCAGAACACAAGAGAATTGACTGAGCAAAATTGCAGAATTGCGGCCGGAAAACGCGCCTACACAAAACGCGGTTACAAGTCACGTTTTGTGTACTCGCGTATTCACTTTGTCCTTACTTCAGCTGCGATTTTCTCTATCATAAAGGCTGAACTGGATTTTTTGTAAAACACCAAAGTTGTAGCCCTTTGAGTTAGCTTTCCAATGCTTCAAGAATCATCCAAATCTGAGCTTTGTAGCCTGAGATATGATCGAAATACTAAACACTGGTCAGAGCTCTGTTTTCCACTTTGGACAGCTGAGTTGAATTTCGGTATTTCAACTTTTGGACTATGAAAACGGCTGAACTGGACTTTGATGTCTTCATACCAAATGTAGATATATCTCTTAGCTTCAAAATGGTACCAAGATCACCTTGATCCGATCTGTGTACCTCCAGATATAGTCAAAATACCAAAACGTGTCAGAGTTGTCAAAACCTGACTTTTCTTGATTCAAATTGCATTTTTCCTTTTTACACTTCATATTTTATTTTCACCACTTTAATCCATCTTCAATCATCCAAATATCTTCTCAATGCACTTCATTTGATGATTGAATCATTAAACCTACAAAATATGAAGTTTTTACCATAAAAATCCATAAAATGCAATGTTTAGCCATTTTAACATAAAATGTAGTTTTTTACCAAAACCTTAGTTATTTTAGTTATTAAACTAAATAATCAAACCAAAATTAACTAATAAAACACACTAAAAATACGTAAAATAAACCCTTGTCAAATACCCCCACACTTGAACCATTGCTTGTCCTCAAGCAATAAAAATACAAACCAACAATGATCCAAAATTTGAAAATAAATATATGTAGCATTTCAACTTCATTTCCTCAAAACAGAGTAAATAACCATTATGCAATTATTCAATTAAGTTCAAGTACTCATAATATCAAGTAAAGGAGAGCCAATTATACCATAATTATAACAAGTTTAATTCGATTTCTCATCCTTTCCCAATTTCACAAGCAAGTAATTCATATGGTCAATAATAATGCTTCCTAAACTCATGATCATCTTTTAATTCTGTTTAAAAAGATATTTATTAATATTACATATCTAAATATTACTTAAGACGTGAGAATGCCTTTTGACGCGAGGATCGACATTTTTAGATGAAGATCACCGGTTACTCAACACTTCACATACTCAAGTTGCTTTGCATACTCTTAATTCAAGTACCGTTTTACGCGAAAGTCGACATTTGTAGATGAAGACTCCCGGTTACTAAGTACAAGAATCATTGGAGTAGAAGAAATCTTTTTTTTTTCTTCTTTTTTTTTTCTCTTTTTTTTTTTATACATAAATTCCTCAAAAGAATAATCATGAGAAGAGTATTGCACCTATTGACCATATTGATCACTTAACTATATAAAATCAAGTAAAAAAAAAGAAATTTCATTAAATATGCAAAAAAAAAAAAAAAAATAGGCATAATTTTCTCCACTTCACAAGATATATTTTCCTACAAATGCAAAATTATAATCACATAATAGTCATTTCCAAGTTAAATGAGAAAAGAAGTTTCCAAATCACATATATTTATCTCAAATGTAGAAGAAATTTGAACTACTAATGGTATGAAACTTGTTACCCCTTGGATAAAATTGAAAAAATATGAAACTTTTTGGGGCAAGTTTGCAATTTTGGACAAGATTTTAGAAAAATTTTGAATTTTAACACAAGTCCAATATTTGCAACTAATAATTCAATCACATACAATATATATAATCTCAATTCTCCCCCCACACTTAACATACACATTGTCCTCAATGTGTAAAAAGGAAAATCAAGATAAAGAAAGTAATACTCCCCTATGATGTGATTGAATATGAAGCTTCAAAATTCATTGTCCGTTTATCTCCAACGCTTCATAAGTTCCATTGAATAACCATTAGTAATAATAATCGAAACATAGAAAATAAGAAACAAAAATGATAACAAAGGCTTAATAAAACAAAACGGCGATCCGTAATTTCAAACCTTTGTTTTGGTGATGTACCTATATACAATATACAATAAGCAACTCAAGGTACAAGGAAATATATGAGGAAAAGAAGAAAAAAGAGAATCAAGGAATCTGCATTTTTTTTTTCTCCGAAAACGCGACTCATCAAAACGCGCCACCAAGCCGCGTTTTATGAAGTCGCGTTTCTTCACATATCTTGCAGGATCGAAAACGCGACTATGCTTAAAAACGCGACTTTGAGTCGCGTATTTTAAGTCGCGTTTTTGGTTTCTGAACAGGCTGGAAAACGCGACTTGGTAGAAAACGCGACTTCCTGTCGCGTTTTTAAG